GTAGTCCCCGGCTGTGCTTGCCTTTGGTCAACCGGGGCCCTCCTTATCCGCCGATCTTTTCTTTGAAGGTGCAGGAGGGGTACTGGTGCTGCTGTCGGACGAGTTGGGGATGATGACGAAGCGTCGCTCAGGGTTGTGCTCGTGAACCTCCTCTAGCAGGACCTGCTGGTCGATATCTCCTCGCGAGGGCGGTACATCGACGGAAGCCGAGTCAAGGGATCCGTGCTCCTTGGACAGCGCTTCGGCTTCGTCTTCGACGGTCGGGGCTGGTGGGCGCGGAACGTATCGGGGTACGGAGGGTTCAATGTTTCTTGGCGGTTCGCGCAATATGACGGTCGCATGTGGTGGAGGGCTCGGCCTACGCTGCTGCGGCACAGGTCGTTCGATTCTTGCTGTGTTTTCCCGAGGCTCGTACGGTTTGGGTGTTTTCGACCGGGAAGTCGTAAAATAGCCCGTTTGGAGTAGGCTCTCAATGTCGTTTCGGTGGTTCATGTCGACCATGTTGGGCTATGGTCAAGAGATGGACAAGAACAAAGCAAACCAGTTGATCTCAGGTCGTGCTTTGCATCCTCCCAATCGGTCCCAAGGGATAGACAATCAATATTCGGGTCGCTGATCTGCACTCCACAGGCTGGTCCGATCTGCTGAGGGAGGGTTGATCCGAGTCACACAGGCGGCAACAGAGACAGGCGGGGCAGGTAGAATGGCCGGTGGCCGAGTATGACGTGACCGATGCTTTGTTCGAGGCCGTAATACCAAAACAGGGTTGTTGTAATTGGCAGCGCTGAGTTGAGAGAAGGGGGCACCAAAGGTTGTTGTGAAGCATTCACTGTTGTTGCTGAGGAACCTTTCCACCTAGGTAGTGAGGGGAAGAACACGGCGTGGAAGCAGGCCAAAACAAAGCGGCCAGGGTGACCGACTCTCTGTCGTCAGATGGTCCGGGCTGCCCAGTTGCTGACGGTGAGGCGCAGCCCCCTGTTATAGGGAATGACATACAGAGGTGGGGTCCAGGGACGGCAAAGAGCCAACGCCCCTCCCCAAGGTCGTCGAGCCCCGCCGCATGGTTCCATGGGTGCTGTGCTGCAATGCGTGTCCAGCACGTCGCACCTCGCCTGCTTGGTTCCAGCAACCACTTCAGAGCACCCAAGTGCCTCCTTCATCACTGCGTAGGTGCTTGCATAGGTACCTAAGTAGGTGGTAGGTACCTACCTGGGTATGTAGGTACCTTGGTACAGGGCGCTTTAGGCGCCACAGCGACTTGCCTTCAGTGGTAGGTACCTTGCCTACCCCTCCAACTTCTAAGCCCGCCACACACCCACCTGTCCGCATCACCACCGCCAATACCTCCATAAACACGATCGTCCAACCGCACGGTTTTTTTGTCAACCTGCATATGATCTGCTCATATGATAAGACTGAGTAGCGGTCTGGCCTGTCCTCAAACCAACGTCCAATGACCCTGGGCTCGATGGCCGCCCATTTCACCTCTCTACACATTGACTCTAGGTCAGGCATCTTTGACATACATCGTTTCATGGATGCTGGCGCCAGTTTGTTACCTCAATGCCACCAAGCCTAGCGGCTCGCAAAAGCGGCATGTCGGCTTTCAAAGAGGCCCGATCACTCCATCAACATCTGCCTACCCATTGGTTAGATGCACTCTCGTCTCTTGGGGGCTAGGCCTCCCGGCACAGAAATGCGTGTCGTCTGAGGCGGAGCCGCTTGGCCTCCTCGGCTTGCCTCTATCCTTCGCCTTGTGAGGCTGAGAAGGTCCATTTCCCCATACATTCCCAAATGCGTTGTGTCGAGTTCGTGTATCGCTTTCCCCGTCTTTTCCATGTCCTCGTGGTCACTTGCCAAGACGCACCACACGCAAACTTCGTCAAATGCTGCTTGGCTGGGCGACGTGCGGCACATTGCCCTTCGATACCTCGTGTGACAAAAGTTCAGGGAGGTAGACTGCCGATTTTCGCTCCTCCAGCATTTTCGGGCGTCGTCTGCCATCGCGACAGCAGTTCAGATGGGGCCTGTTCAACGGCAACCTGCAGCGTTCCATCATCTGTCATCCATCCTACGATACCTCTGCACTCAGACTATCATCCGAACACGTTTCCCCCTTCCGATCGGTGGGCGCCGGGCCGCGTACTCGGAACCGCCGCACTCACCATCGGGGCATCCTAGACCCATAAATCCAAGGAGCGGACCGTTTCTTTCGACGCGGGGCCACGCAAGCCGGCCCGCCCTCAAGTCTCCTCACTCCCTCTCCACACTGGCTTCTAGGCCCTTCCCATGAACCCATCTTTCCCTGATTCCCGCAGATGCTTTGCATTAGTTACTGCACTCGATGACTGGGGGAGGGAGGAAAGAACCATTCAGAGCTTGGCAGTTGCACAAGACGTATAGATCATGTTTGTGGGTGTCACGCTGTGACACATTGCAGCATGCGTAGCTTTGGCCGATCGAGTGAGGCATCGCTACCCAAAGTCGCACGACCAAACCATGTGGGTTCATCAGGAGATTCTTCAAATACTTGCCGTGCGAGATCGGCATAGTTTGCCATTTATGCGTTGCACTTGAATGCCAAGTGGACGAATCTGATATGTCAGTCAGAGCCGACTCAAGTCTCAGTGCGGTCTTCAGCGTAGTCGACACATACGCCCACGACATTCAATGACAGCTTTACCGCACGAGGATGCTCTTCTTCCGCCTGGTAACTCTACCCCCTTTTTCATATTAACTATAGCCTCGTATCGGCTTGCTCTAATTGCCGACTAATTGCTCCTTGCGTTTTCTGTATGCATTTGCCTAACGCCTTGCAGTTTGACGTGGTATAGTTTATGGGGTTCACTTCTGACAATCACAAACCGGCCGGTCATATGTTATGATTCTCTTCATTTTGTATAATGTGCGCTGCCTCGAGGTCGAAGACATATTCAGTCATCCTGATGGCCACGATCCCCGGTCGACAAACTTGCACATTTGACTGCACTAACCAGCTTCTAAATGAGTGTTCCCCGATGGGGCTACAGCCTTTGGGCATATATACATCCGGGCCCAATGCTCGGAACTGAATATACAAATCTTCTAACTTTTCGTTTTAACTTGCTCCATGAGGTACCTTTGATGACGCGATCGAGACTTTGATACGCCCTAGAAATACTATCGATCGTCTTCAGAGCGGCGCGGGTCACATGCAAGAATCATGTGAAGCTTGACAGCCTTACCATAGCCGCCGCCCACATGACGATATCAAGCTTCAAACGGAACTGGATCTACATTTGTTCCTAAGTATTACTATATGCAGTCCAGTGGCAGGAAGGGGATTCATAGTCCCCAGATATCCAATGTTGACCATCATGGTTTGATCTAACCCAAAGGTGCTGTAGTCATGCATGTTCCATCTTCGGTACCAACGTAGCCCAAGATAGAGGATTGCATAAAGGTTGGTCAATGTCCATACACCCGGAGAAACCAGCCGTGACCAAGATCATACGGCGCAACCAGCCGGATGCTGCCTAATCCGCATGCCATGAGACGGCCGCACATGATGCAAAGCCCAATGACATACGCCGGCGTTGAGTGGTACGTCTGACCAGTGCATCGGAGCAAACACATAGTCGCCCGACTACAGCCTCGAGTTTCCAGTGAGCCATATCACCTTTGGACACCGCTGCTCTGCACCAGATGCCCATCTGATGAACCTTCAGGCAAGAATGACATGTTCCGTAAGGTTATTGCAAACTTCGGGTTAGGCTCTGACCGAGACGGAGGCCTCAAGGGCTGAAGAGGTGGGGTTGTATTCGAGAGCAGCCTGAGAATACGGCTTAACAGTTTTAGTACGGACATAGCCATTGCTTAGCTTGATCGATAGCCAAGTAATCCAAGGCCCCTTGTGTTTCCCAGGCGGAAACAGCCTACGGCAGGCAGTGCACGCCCATCCGCGAGGCTTCATGCTACCGAGTAGTTGGTTTGCCACGCCATTTGTCCCTTCTAACGGCGGTATCTCTCCAAATCCAGGCTGTGAAGATAGACCAAGTGGCTCTCGTGCACGAAAGCCCATGTCATCTGATGCTCTTTTGCGTAGCTGACGATTGCTCTCCGAGTCTAACACTGCACACTTCCGCATGTCCACTTTGACATCAAGAAACACAGCAATGAGGTTTGTCCTGATCGTGATATGCCGCCTAACGCCCTGTAAAAAGCACAAAAGCCTTGCTGTTCTACTCCTTGATCAAGAACTCTTCGATATCCTTGTCCTCCTCGTCCTCCTGTTCCTGCGCCAACCGCTCCTCCTCGGCGTCCATCATCATCTTCAGGACTTCGCGCTGTCTCCTCCTCGCCTTCTTGCCCCAGTCTGCGCCCGTCGCGGCACTCTCGACGCCCTCGTCATCCGAGTCTTCGGGTATGTCGACCTGTCCACGCAGGGAGTTGGGCGATATCTCAGCCTTGGCAGCCTCTTCGTTGGCTTCGGTGTGCTGGGCCATTTGCGAGCGGCCCGTGATCTTGAGAAGGTAGGGGCGAAGGAGGGCGTACGCGCCAACGACGATAACGATGCGGATGAACTTTTCGTACGTGAGCTCCGTGAAGGTTGAGCGCAGGTTGGCGGCCGAGCGGTTGAGGATATCCATTTTTCACAAGGTAGTAGGGCGCGTGAGCGTGAGGATTGGTGATGGAGTGGATTAGAAGGAAGCTCGTTGCGCAAGAGACTCGAGTTTTTGGGTGCGACTGCCACTCCGTTTGTCCTGACGGGGAGGATTGTTTGTTCGAACACGGCAGCGTCGGATGAGTTGCGGGATTTGATGCTGTTGATGGGGAAGAAAAAAAAAGTCGTGATGGAGGTCTCTGGTCTGGATCCGTCGGCATTGGGATTTGCATTCGGCTGCACCGAGCGTTGGAGTTGCGGCACCACGCGGGGCGCTGTGTTCAGCACCTCCATGCGCTAGGCTTGGCAAGGGTTAGTGGGTGGATGTGACGTAAATTGGCCCTGTAGGTATAAGAGAAAGTGCCCCGGCGGCTCGAACTGGGTGCTGCCATTGGCCTGGGACACTGCCGTGTGCCAGTTTAAGGCACATACATACTTGACAGTCAAAGAGGCTGCACAGTGAGAAGATTCCATCGGCAATCTTCAAGCTGAGTAGTAAAGTAAGGAAATCTCCATAAAGCCTGTGTTTTACTATTGCTCAGTTTTTGGGCCAGATCCTAGGTTTCAAGCTGTTTTTTTCAGTTCAAGTCATGCTGTTGGCTCTGGTGTCCATAAACCAGAGACATGACAACGGAGGAGACGACCTATGATCCAATATGCAAACAGCGCCCTTCACATTCCCCGTAGCAATAGTAGAAGGGAAGCTCATAATGGTGTTGGGGCACTTGCCATTCAGTCTTACAAACAAAATCGCTTGACTATCTATGAGAACCAGCTGAGCGTAACGCAGCCCCGTCGTCGACAACATCTCCTTACGCGATCTACTTCTACACCTACACAATTCACAAGGTCATCATTATCTTGTCTCAATCTTTGATGCCTGAGTAAGAACGGTGCATTGAGTGCATACGGGTTTTGTCGTCAAGCCAGTAGAAGCTGTCGTGGTGGCTCGCTCAGGTGCTCGCAACCCTTGGATGACCCCATTGAAACCCCGCGACGCGCTTGCTCAGAACGCGTAAGTACCCCTTTGCGACATCCCCCCCCCCC